GTACACTTAATGTACTATTTTCCTATTCTTTAAACAAAATTCCCACATTCATTTTGCTCTGGACCCCCACTAATTATATAGTCAGCCTTGCTTATAAATTCCCTATTTACCTAAGCCAGCTTGATTTCATTTCCTGTTATTTGCTAGCAAGAGTTCTAACTAATTTGGAAATGTATTTGAACTTGCTAAGGGTTTTAACTTTATGCTTTGCTCCAACTACTACATTCAAATGAGTGGAAGTGTGATACAATGTAAAGAACATGGGCTTTTCTAGAAGCAGAAAAGAGGCTCAGAGAACTTCACTGATTTGGACAAAGCCACACAGCTTCCAAGGAAAGGATCTGATATTTGAATCCAGTTCATCGTGACTCTAGAAAGCTTGCTAGAACATTCCGAAAATGTCCTGTTACTGCACTGTTTAATATGGTAGCCACTAACCACATATGACTAATGAACCCTTGAAATGTGGCTAGTGCAACAAACAACTATATTTTAAACATTATTTCATTTTCGTTTAAATAATGTGACTAGCGCTGACATTTTGGACTGCACAGATCCAGAACTTGTGCCCTTACTCTTCACCCGGGACACTTGGCGGAATCAGTGTTTGTGGAGAGGCTGAATCGCTCACTGGCTCCCTATGATACGTGATTCTTCAACAGAATCTGACACATGGCATCTTCTCAACAAATAGCTGCTCAGTGTTTTCATGGGTGCTCAGACTCAATTTCTGTAGATGAAAAATCTAGACAGGAGAGTCTGGAAAGGGAAGAAGGAAGGTGATGAGAGACCCCGCCCCACAAGAGTCACTTTACCCCATCCTCTGAGGCAAACATGGGAGAGGGCCAGCCTCAGCGGAGGTCAGAACAGCCCCTCAGTGACTAACACTCAAAGGAATCCACACCCGCCGGGTCTGTTGTCCACAGAAAACCTTCCCAGAAGGGCCCAGCCTATAGTGAGCTCAGGAGACGTGTCAGGGAGGATATTAAGGCGCCTCTGGTATGTCTCTGGAAAGCAGCCAACAAACCCAGAGCTGTCATCACCATAAACCCAGCCGGGAGCTCAGGCAGCTTGACCTAAACACATTCCGATACACGGTGCAAGGGGTGAGGCCCCAGGCCCGCTGCGGCCCCAGGCCACCGATCCATTGCAGGTTCCCAGACCAGCCCTGGCACCTCCAGCCTGGGCCCCTCTTTCAGAGCAGGCTCCCCTCTCACCTCCCCCTTGACCAGCACCCCCTGCGCTAGGTTAACTCCTGTCTTACTCGGGTCTCTGGCAAAATGACCCCTCTTTTGGGAAACCTCCCTGGGCTGAGTTGGCCCCTCTGCTGGCTCTAGAGAGTCATTAATCTTCAGCAAAGAAATGGACCCTGCTGCACGCCACCCTGGCGCACCCTGCACAGAGTTGCCTGGTGAGAAACAGCTGGACTGAAAACCCACTTCTACAGAGAGGGCGATGGCCCTTGTGAGCTGTAGTTTGGGGGTCATTTTTGACAACACTATTTCCCTTCTCTACTTGTAATATCTTCATCTGTGCAGCTCAAGTCTCCCAAGGAGCATCTCGAAGGCTTCCTGGTGCCCATCAGTTTCTGCTGCTCTGGAGGGCAACTCCTTGATCCCTGGGGTGCTCTCTAGGTCCCCCTAATATACCCTCCAACTCTGAGGATGATGCATCAAGGTGTTTTTAAAAGACATGGGAACAGACAGACTTAATTTTATTCCCATAGATTTTCTTTCTTTCTTTTTTTTTTTTATCAGAGTCACTTACAGTGGGGTTTATCCCTGGGTGGTGATGGTAAAAGGGCCTGAGTTAGTGGGGGGAGAGGAAGAGGAGGTGTTGTACCTGGGTAGTCAGGGAACACTGCAGGGAAGATGAGGCATTTGACCTGTGACTTTAGAGACAGAGAGAAGGATATTCCAGGTAGAGGGAATAGCCTGGGCACAAGCGTCGAGGCCTGAGAGAGGGTGCTGGGCTCAAGGAACTTGAAGCTGTTTGGTGTTGCAGAAGCTCAAGGTATGATGAGACGAAGAAGGTGGTGTGCTGAAGAGGTGAGCAAATGCAAGTCCCCAAGGACCCCAAGCACTTCCCTAAGGAGCAGGACTTCGTTTTGGAGGCTGGAGTGCTCCAAACGCCCATCCCATGGAATTCTCTGCCCCAGAAGAGGGCTGGGATTCTGTATTCCTCACTTGGAGACTCTCTCCAAAATATGTTGGTACTGTGAAGGCTCTGCTAAAATGAATAGTAGTAACTGCATGTGAGTGTCTGCAAGCCACCGGGCAATGCTCTTAGCATGTAGCACGCATCCCCACATTTAACCCGCATCACAACCCTACAAACAAGGTTCTGTTGTATTGTTCCTATTTTTTAGGGACGTTAAGAAATTTGCTCAAGGTCACACAGCAAGGAAGTAGTAGAGCTAAGGTTTGAACTTGAGGAGCAGTCTGACTTCGAGATGTCCTGGAATAAAGAACCTGCTTAACTTTGTTTCATCCAACATTTCTCAACTTGTTTTTAACTATGGGGGGAAAAAATACATATCTTGTAACATTGTAAGGCAATTGATTCTGAGGGAAATGGTGAACTATTAAGGGTTCTTATCCAGGAGTCTTACAATTTGACTTGTAAATATCCTGAGTAAGCTCATTATCAGTCACTTACACATTAATGTGAATTAAGCCTTTCCTGGAGCCCCTCAATTTTCCTCTAAGCTCCCTGAGGGCAAAAACTGTGTCAGTTCATGGCTATGTCCCCTGGACTCAGAGGCGGTGATAGGAGATGGTGCTATAAGAGTATTGGCCTGAATGAGTTGTAATTTCCCCTGTTGAAGACATTCGGACCCATAGGAAGGAAGGCCTGCCATCTGGGAGGCAGGCAGTGATGTGTCAGGGTGGGAAGGACAGAGAGCAGAAAGCTGTGGGGCCGCCGAAGGAGCCAGAGTCTTGGACTGAGTGGAAAGCAAGGCTGCGTGGTAAGGCTAAAGGCCAGGCCTGGACATCGATCTAAATGCAAATCCAAATACCAACTCACAATTTTTCTCTTCTAGACAGTAACTAAGCCACCTGGTTAATTGGAAAAGGAAGCATTTGTTGCAGTTGAAGGTGTATCAGGAAATTCTTGATTTTAAAAGTCAGAGTCAGAGTTGGAGTAAGAAAATAAAACTCTCAGACTTGTACCTGCCCCACCCTCACACTCCCAAAGCTACTGGCAAGAAATAGGAGCTTTGGAAGGTCGGCTTGTGGAACTGAGGGCTTCTTAGAAAGCACCTAACCAATTTCTCTCTTTATAGGGGGGCAAGACTGAGGCCCAGACGGGGCAATGTCTCATAGCTGGTCAAACTGGGACTAGAATCTAAGGGTCCCCTGCCCAGGGCTTCAGGACCAGAACTCTAACCCCTTCAACCCAAGCCCCCAGCAGTTCTTTTGCCCCCCATCCATCCTCCCCATCGTCCACCCGCTTTGTCAGGGGACGCAGCCTTTGTGCACACCCTGCCCCTACAGCAGACTGTGCTCCCTGCTGCTCTGACTGCCCCTAATGAGATTACAGGTTCCTAGTAAAATAGACGAGAGTTAATTCCCTCTGGCTGGAAAGGGCAGGCCAGGCCAGGCCATGAGAAAGAGCAAAAAGAAAACCTTTCCCTACGAATGCTGAATGCCGATGATAATCCCTGTTGAGCACATTGGAGTCCACTGGTGCTGTCCTAGATATTCTCCAGATGGGGTGCTGCAGCAGCCCTAGTAAAGTGGGTGCTGTGTTGTTCTGTCTGTCTTACCAATGGGGGAACGGAGGCACAGTCAGCTTAAATGCTTGGCCAGGGTCACACAGCTAGCAAGTGGCAGAGCTGGGACTGCAAAGTAGGTCCCTTGGACTCTGTCATCTTTAAAAATAATAGGCCCTGATCCTGGCTGGTGTAGCTCAGTGGATTGAACACCGGCCTGCAAACCAAAGGGTCCCCGGTTTGATTCCCAGTCAGGGCACATGCCTGGGCTGTGGGCCAGGTCCCCAGTAGGGGCCACTCGAGAAGCAACCACACAGTGATGTTTCTCTCCCTCACTTTCTCCCTCCCTTCCCTTCTCTAAAAATAAATAAATAAATAAATAAGAAAAATAATAATCCCTGAGAACCAACAGAGGTCTTAGCTTTAAGTTTAAAGCAGCTCTGAAGGAAACATATCATGGGAGTGGCTGAGCCAGTTTGAACTCAGATCTACTGGACTCAAATCCTACATTCCCCAGAGTTCAAAGGCTAAGCGCCTGTGAATCCATCTGCCTGTTTATGTGGCAGAAGCCAAACCAACATAAGCCCGAATTCTGCTCTGCTACGTGCCAGCTCTGTGACCTTGGCCTAGTTTTTGACCTGGGGTCTCAATCTTCATTCCAGTAAAATGAAGGCTGGAATCCTCGGTGGTCAGGATGTTGCCCCATGATTCACACAAGTGAGCCAACTAGAGCAGGTCTGCGCACAGCACGCGCTTGTGATTCGATCTCTCTTTGCCTCAGTTTCTTCATCTAAAAGATGATACCTGTTGTACTTACCTCTTGGGATTGGTGTTAAGATTAAATGTGCTAATACAAGTAACGTGCTTTTAGAACAGCACCTGGTGCACAATAAAAGCTTAATTAATGTTAACAATTAATTGGCCATTAGCTAGTACCGCATTGCCTCACCTTCGATTCTTTCTGGAATGAAGTGGGGTAAAAATTAAAGCAATCAAGCAAATGTTTCTCTTGTTCCTTCCACCAGTCCCTGGTGCCCTCCCCTGTTTAAGAGAAGCACTTGGCTTTGAGGTCTGAGCCCCCAGACCACGTGGCCTGCTCTAATTTTCCAGGCCCTAATCTGTTCCCAGCTCCTAATGATGCAACTGGTAATAGGATTGTGGCTTCTGTCTGGGGCAGCCACGCACGCCGTGGACGTGCAGCTGCCACCTGGTGCTTAGCAACCCTGACCACCTGCCTGCTGAGGAGCCAAAGCCTCAGCCAGGACCCTGTGCCCTGGCTGGCCTCACATGTATGGAATGGTGCTATGCCCAGTGCCAGCAGGCTGGGCTCACCATGGTGCCAGGTGCTATCCTGGCACGAGGGAGGGACGTTTGCAAGAGGAATGGACTTCTCATCTTGTCTGTGCTATCTGTCACCATGGGCTGCCTCCTTGGCTTCTTCCTGAGGACCCGGCACCTCTCACCACAGGTCAGCCACCTGGGCATCACCGGGTCCCCCTTTAGGCAGGGTGTGTGGGCCTGAGGGATCTGAGGGTCCCTCTCCATGGCTCCCTGATGACATGACAGTGGGCAGGTCACTTTGTTTCTCTGGGCCCGTTTTCTCATCTGTAACATGGGTGTGAAAAATACGTTATAGGACTAAAGTGACATCCAATAAATGGCTGAGCAAGTGGTTACAAACCGGCATCACCAGGTGAATGAGAGGCAAGGATGCCTCATCAGAATAGCCACAGGGCGAAGACCTATGAGAGAGGGAAGAAGGGGGTCCCATAAGAGTGTGAAGCAGGCAGCAGAGAACACCTCCTAAAGCAGTTCCTATGAATAGAGACCTAGCAAGGGTACTCTAGGCAGAGGTAATGGTAGGAATGAGGCACAGAGGCATGAAAGATTGGGGAGGGGTGTGGAACAAGCTGTTCGCGGCAGCTGGGATGAACACTGTGAGGCCTCTAGATCCCATCACCAAGCACAGACTTGGCGCAACCACAAGAACCTCTGAACGGGGGACTGATATGGTCAGGTCTGAGCTTGGAGAGATCCCTTTGCGCTGAATGGAGCAGGGGGTAGTGGTGGGACAGGCGAGGGCCAGGTGAGGAGGCAGCTGCAGAGGTGAGACATGACAGGGGGGATGAATGGGACAGATGGAGGTGGGAACTGTTTTAAAAACAGGAGCCTTCATGATATGGTGACTTACTGGATGTGGGTTAGGGGGACAGGGAGACAAGGAAGGTCCCCAGGGTCCTGATGTATGTAACTGCAAGAGTGAAGGTGCCTTGCCTGGGAAAGGGCCCCTTCCCCACTTAGCACCCATCTCCTAGGGGAGAAGGAGGGACACTCTCATGGTGCTAAAAAGAATTATTCTGACACTTGTTAAAATGACAAGAAAGACTTTATTCAGGTGACAAGTGTCAAGACTATGGGGCGAGAGATGGGGCTCAAATCTGAATACAATGAAGATTCAAATCTGAATACAATAAAGACTCAAATCTGAATACAATAAAGACAACTGGGGATTTGCAGCCAATGAGCATAGTAAGGGGGTCAATGGAGAGAAAAATGATAGGATTCTTGTTGAAGGCAGAGTGGGGATTCTCACTGAACTGACTTAGCAGGATTTTTGCTATAACCCTGCTAGGCAGGCTGAAGACAGGGCCCAAGGATGAGGTCTAATCAAAAAGAAGGCTCAGAGTAGCCTGTCTAACGTTGGTCAAGGAACTTTGGCAATGGGCTCCTGGAAAATTCCCAGTCTCCTAAAATACTTTATCCTGTAGTTCACTGATATCTAATATGAACTCTACAACTGGGGCTCAAGCTATCCAATTTTGTCCATTTTTCCATTGAAAGAAAACACCCCCTCCCTGGGAACTGAGCCACTATTCCTGCAGCAATGCTGTTAAACCACTCTCAGTGATTTAGGGGGAAGCATGGACTCTGGGGGCAGAGGAACCCTCAACTTTGACCCTACGACTAAGTGGCTCTGTGGCCCTAGGCAAAAGCCTATCTTTTTTCGGCCTCAGTTCCCTTATCTGTAAAATGGAGTGGGAGCACTCTATGTCCACTAGAGTTGTTGAGGAATAAACCAAGATTCCTCAGTTCCTGGCATATAGCAGGTGCTTAGTGAATGTTACTTCCCTCCTCCCTCCCTTATTTACCTGTCCAAGTCCAACCTACATCAAGACCATCTCCTATTCCGTATCTTATAAAAATTCTTCCAGACCTGCCCCCATCTGGAATGATACTCTTCCTCCCACATTCACCCCATGCTCATCCCTCTGCTGTAACCCAGCTGTCAGCTGTCTTGCTTCAGAGCCATCTGTGTAGGAGTCTATTTCCCCCATCAGACGTCAGCTTGCTGAGTATCATCACATAGGCCTCCTTGAACCAAAATGTGAGCCTAGCTCAGTGCTTATCACAGAAAGAACCCTCAACTATTTGCTGAATTAAACTAGCACTGGCACAAAAAAGCTGCTATTTACTTTCTTTTATTTTCCTCAACAACAAAAATATATTTCCTGCAGGAAGGTTATTTTGTGAAAACAAGTTGGAATACTTATCATTAAAAGCCAAACTCATCTGGGACCTCTTTTGCCAAAGCTGCCTTCCCCATCTGTTTGGAAACGCAAATATATTTCAGTCTGGATTAACCTGCCAGATAAACTGAAGGAAGGATTGGAGTCTTAGAACAATTATTTGGCAGGAATTGGCTTTCTCAGCATCTTACTTTGAAATCCAGGAGTTGTTTGTTTGATCTCTGCCTGTGACTCAGAAACCAAACGCTTCTTATTTTGTAAGCTTATGCAACAGGCAAAAATCATAAACAATTTGTAAAATGGTAAAAGGTCCTATTGAGAAAACAACTTACAAAACCTCAATGATTTGTAATTCAGATTTTTTTGAAATGAGTATCTCATTAAAAAATATAGATCATTTTGAGAGTTCCAGTTAAGCCATGGTGAATCTACAATTACACCCATTTTCCTGTGCTTCCTGGAATTCTATCAAAATTATAGTAATGGAATTTTTAAAAGACATAAACTCCAAAGAACAAAGAGCATGTAAAAGGAGACAGCTGAGAAAAGTCAACTGACTTCAATCAATGAGGCAAGATAGGAGGTGGATAGAGTTGCATGATCTCACTTAGGAAAGCACTGAAAGCTAAAATCTTGTGTCTGTAGAAGCAGATACTGCATCAGGTCACCTCTGAGAACTCCAAAGGGCTCTGGACTTGAAAGGGCAAGGTGCTGCAGAAGGCAGGGACGAAGCACGGAGTTGAGATCAGGGACTTTGGTTGGAACTTTGCAACTGGAACAGTTAGACCCCTAGGTCATTTCTAGGTCATGTAATCAGGCAACTCCTCACCCACCCATCTCTACTCACCTGTCTGTCCCAAGGAACCAGAGAAGCTTGACTTAGGGATATTGGACCCACCTGTGTGTGTTGGTGGAGGGGAGGTGGTGAGGTGCATGCTGCAAACAAATCAGTGGACATTTGCATTCCGAGTGTGGGATCCCCAAAAGATTGCTGACAGCTGGGCTTAGGCCTAGTACCCTCCCTCCCCCAGTCAGAGGAGGAAGAGGCTTCTCTCACTGAAGTCTCCGAGAAAAGGTCTCCAAATACTGCTGTAAAGAAGATTCCTCTCCCACCCGACCCTACCCCCAGTGAAAAAGCCAGATCATCATCACCATTCTTCCTTAAGTTGACAAGTCCCACTCATGTGCACGAAAGTTCAGTGCCTCACACTCATATATGAGCAGAAAGTCATAGTTCCTAACATGAAAGCAGAGACTAAACAAACAAAACAAGATGGTCTCTAATGAAGCAGAGACAATGCAGGGAGTAGAAGAAAACTTGTAAAATCTTAAATTCTTTGAAGATACGAGAGAAGATATAGTGACCGTAAAATGGAATAGGATGCAAAAAGAAGGGGTAATTGAAGAACAAGAAAGAGCTTTTGGACATTTAAAATAGATGAGCCAAGATTAAAATATCAAAAGCTGGGATAAAGTTGCAAAAATATACCAGAAAGTAAAACAAAATGATGAAAACAGAAAAAGAAAATTAGAATGTCCAACATCTAACTCTCTAATAAGAGTTTTAGAAAGCACAAACCAAAAAAAAGAGGAGGAGGAGACAAAAAATTCACAAAGAATTCAAGAAACCCTCAGAAGTGAAAGGTCTGCATTGCACTATGTATTTTTTAAAAAGAAAGAAGATCTCATACCATGGTACATCATCATACAAATTACAGAAATTGGGAGATAAGCAGATGATCCTTAAATGGTTCTGAGGGAATAAAACAAGTCACATGTAATGACTAGGAAATAAGAGTAGCTCAGAACACCTTAAGCAACCCTGGAATTGAGAAGACAAAGGGTAAGTACTTTTAAAATATGGAGGGGAAATTAATTAATGTGTTTATTTATTTATTTATTTATTTATTTATATTAAATTTATTGAGGTGACATTGATTTATAAAATCATTTACATTTCAGGAGTACAATTCTATAATACGCCATCTGTATATTGCATTATATGTTCACCACCTCAAGTCAAGTCTCTTTGGAGGGGAAATTCTTCTAAACTAAGAATCAATGCGACCAGACTGCTATCAGAGGTGAAGGTAGAATGAAAGTATTTTTATGCATGTAAGGACTCAGAAGTTTTTCTCCCATTCATTCTTACTGAGGAAGCTACCAAAGGAGATGTTCCAGCAAAACAAGGAAGTAAGCCAAGAAGACAACAGATCCAGGAAAGAGGAGATTCTACACAGGAGAAAGTCCCAAAAAGACAGCAAAGAAAAGGCCCAGGACAACCACTGGGCCTAGAGAGCAATCTAGTTGGAAAGGAAGATGGCGAGCTCTTGGACTGATGTCCCACGGGGCATAAGTGGAACTAGTATGCCTGAGTGTGCCTAAGGCCTATTTATTTATGTATGTATTTATTTATTTGTTTGTTTGTTTGTTTATTTATTTTAGAAATACTGCTTTATTTGAGAAACTTACATCCAAATTACTTTTGTGTGTTTTAAAACGTCCTAATGAGCATGCAAGAAGAAAACATATACAGCTTCCACAGAACAACAAAAACAAAAAAAAAATGGAGTTAATAGTTGCCCCAAATGATATTTCCTAAAAGAAAAAAGTGTAATTATTTAACCTTTCTTCTTTTAAGGTAGGATAAGTGAACTGCACACATCAATAAAATTTTCTCACTTTACAAGGAGGAAGGACTGTGATCCTGTTTTGATGCATATGAAATATAAAATATAAAATCCATTCTTCTGATCATTTTGAAGGGAAAAAATCATTCTTCAACATTTCAATTCTTATGCAATGAAATCCTAAGGTCTGTTGAGTCCTCCTCCTCTAATCAGGTACTGCCTGCACTTCCTCTTCTGAGACACACTTATGGCTCAGGCATTTACAGAGCCATCCATCTTTTTCCCTTCTTGTGGAGTCAAAGGGGGCAAATCCCATTAACTTCATCATTTCTATCTCTTCCTCTGTTTTGCCCTTCAAGTCTTCCTCAGAAATCTGCTGTTCTTTGCTTTTTGTTTCTTTCATTTCTTTCTTTTCCTCGTCTCTCTTTTCTTTCCGTTGAAATGGGGAGGGAGGTGAGGATCTATATAGTCTTGGGGACCTAGAGAGTCTCCTGTGTGTGGATCTAGAGCAGCTTCTTCTTTGACCTCTGGCCCAGGACCAGGACCCTTCTCTCATCTGCATTCTCTCTCCTAGGAGTGGACCAGGACCGCCTGGGCTCCCTCTGCAGGGAGCAGCTGTGACCTTGTTAGGTCCTTTTTTAAAATATATTTTTATGTGGAAATGTTTGTGTCAGTACAGTGAAACTAAATTTTAAAAGACCCTGGATGTCATTAGTTTGGATATCATTAGGTTATTATAAAACAGACATGGAAATTATTTACATGATGAAAAATTTCAGTACTTTAATGGAATGGGCTGCATCATGTGATGCCATTTTAATAGTGATTTATTTCAATCTACATACTTTCCAAGAATGTCACCATTTCTAAATAAGAAACAATCCTTGTCGTCTAGAACTACTTTGGTGCCTCCATATTCTGGAAGAAGAACTTTATCTCCAACTTTCATGATAACTGGTTGAATCTCGCCACCCTTTCCTTTGGAGCCCAATCCAACAGCTACTAGAGTTGCTTGAAATACTTTCCGTTGAGGTTGTTGTGGAAGCATGATGCCTCCTTTGCTCACAGTTTCTGCAGCACACATTTCAACCAATACTCGGTCAAAGATGGGAAGAAACTTTCTAAATGCCTGTCCTGCCATGACTCCAGCCACCACAGTTTGCACTCTTGTTAGTCCTTAAAGAGCGTTAAAGCATTTGGAAGAAATTAGTGAGTGTTTCACAGGAAACAAGACGAATGAAAAATCAGTCAATTATTAACTGCGGGAATGTAGGGTTGTACAAGAAAGGTTGTGCAAAAAACAAAGGTTGTATAAAAAGGGTTGTAGCTTATTACTTGGCTCAACAGTGAACAATATTTTATGATCAAAATATTGTAAACCTTGATGATTAACTTAACCAAAAGTTGATATAATGGTGAAATGGTAGGAGGAAAAGGGGAAAAGGAACTAAGTCTTCGTCTTCATGGCAGATGTCAAAAAGAGAAGTTAACAGATGTCAAAAGATGCATCTAAAAATAGTATAACCATACTATTTAGAAATAACAATACTAAGGAAAACAGCTAAAGGAATACAAGGGAAGTTGGGGTTGGGATAGAGATGGGCGAGGAAGGGGCTGCTTTTTATCATTATAGTGTTATTTAAATTAAAGAATATACACATGGGTTAAAATTAATTAAAAATACATAGCCATGATGGGTATATTTTTAAAAGCGGCATTTCCAGTGCATTGGGAATGGTGGCAGAGCAGGACGAGGAGGCCTGATTTCTGGGCCTTACTGTTGCTACCTCACTCTGTGGGGCAAGTCACCTCTCTCTCCTGGCTCAGCTTCCTCATCTACAAAATGAGTCAGGTAGACTAAAAGATCTTTAAAAAACCCTCACGGCACTGAAATTCTATGATTTGGAGCTTTTCAAATCATCGGACCATTAACTAAGTGTTAGGTTTGGTTTTGCTTTAAAAAAAAAAAAGTAGTTACAAGTACAAAACTTTAACTTGGATGGTGTTTGAAAATCCATGTACCAGCCTTTACCACAGGTTTTCCCTCTGATGAAAGTGGCCTCAAACGAGGGTTGCCATAAGTAGCAAAACTGAACTAAATTAAATTTTAAAACAGCACACCCATTACATTTGAATTTCAAATAAACAACAAATAAGTTTTAGTATAAGTAAAGAACAAATATTTGTTGTTTATCTGAAATTCAAATTTCACTGGGTTTACTAGTCCCTTCTGGTTTGGATGTCAGCATCTGGTCATGTGACTGGTGCCTCTGGAGACAGCTGATTGGGCAAGAATTTAGAGTCTAATCCAAGCCTCAAGGACAGGCTGGAACCAGCAGCCCCTGAGGAAACCCAACGTTAAGGACTCTGTCCAATAGGGGCTCTTTATACTGAGTGGTGTCTCACCGACCCAATCCAATTGTCTTTCAGCATTTTATATGTGAGACCTGTGGAAAGGGGGTTACTGGGTGCACCCACTGGACCCAACACAGAAGAAACTGGCTCAAGAATGCCATAGGCTTTTCATGAGTCAGTCTCCTTATAAACTAGACTGAGAACTTCAGGGCAAAAACCGTGCCTAATTCATTTTGGGGTATCCAGTGTGATGCCTGGCACAGTAAGCATCAAATAAATGTGGAACAGCATGCAGCCCTGCCCTCGTGCATCTTACCATCTGCTACATGAGACAGACTTACACCACGATGGGCAGTGAATGGTGCAGAAGTGGGGGGTGGGGGAGGGAGAGCTGTTATTTACTGTGATTACTGGCCATTTACTCTCACCCAGGCACTCTGCCTAATGCCTCATGGGCACCCTCTCATTTAAGCCTCCCAATGACCCTGGGAAGTGGTTGTTGCCCTCATGTTACAGATGAGAAAAACTCAAAGAGGTTGAGTAGCCTGCTTGAAGGCCACACAGCTAGTTATGGGAAGGGTGGGGGGTAATATTAGGACCTCCGTCTGTTCGGCTCTGAAACCTGTGCTTTCTCCACTGCTCTGCTGTCCACATGCTAGACAAGAGAGTGAGCATGAAATAGTGCTTTGAAGATTATGAGGAACCGAGCAACTGTGAAGTCTGCACCGCCTGCTGTAACCTCAGCTCTTGGTGTGTTTTCAGGAAATTAGTTACTTCCAGTTTCCTGGTGAGCTCTTGATGAGGATGTTGAAGATGCTAATCCTTCCGCTGGTGGTCTCCAGGTGAGGGCAGGGTGTTTGGCTGGGAAGTCTGGGGCGGGAGGGCAGGGATTCTGTACAGGTACTGTCGGTGCCCTGCCCCTGCTGTGGGCAGCTGGACTGCCCCTGCGGGCCCGCGAGCAGTTTGACTGTGGGGCCTGTATGGGCCGGACGCTGTGGCATGGGCTGCTGGAGCCTGAGTCGCTCAGTAGCACCAGTTATTTCAGTTATGGGACAAGGCCTGGCTCCGAGGTAGCCTGAGGCCGGGAGGTCAGGGATTGCTTCCCAGAGGAGGGGCTCTTTATGGTGAATGCAGTAAAGTGTCAGGGAAAGCTGACTTTGAAGACACTCATGAGATGGGACAGGTTATCAAACTTCTCCGAGCCTGTTTCCCCATCTGTAAATTGAAATATAACACCTACTCCCAAGGGTTATTGTGAGGATTATGTGAGGCTACATATTTTGTCTGCACTAAGTGTTCAGGGGGGCTGGGTCACAGGGTGTGAGGGAGGGAGGATGGGAGACGAAGCTGGAGGGGGACTTCCTGCTCAATTGTGAAAGACCTCGAATGTCAGGCTAGAGAATTCACACTTCACCCACTAGATCAAGGACCACAGGAAATCACTGGAGATCCTGTGGTCCCTACCGCTGGTGTGCTGTGCGACCTTGGGCAAGACCCTGCCCCTTTTTTTCCCCATAGCTCCAGATTCCATCTAAGAGCCCTCTGCTCCAAGGCCGTGGATTTGGAATCCTCACTTCCCAAGACTTCTCTGCAGAGAGGGAAGCAGACAAGTCCTGAGAGGCGTAGTGGGCTCTCTCTGCTGCAGAGGGTCATCAACCTCCTGCTATTGAGGAATAAGACCGCTCCTCCCCGTCTCCCTGTGGAGTCATGGACATAGTGCTCCCCAGGCCTGGAGGCCAATTAGTGGTACTTTCTCCTTCTCCCAGGGAGGCCTTGTCAAGCACAGCTCAGCACTGGTCTCTCAAGAAGCATCCAGGTCTCTCACAAGTCATTCTTCAAGGCTCTGCTGAAATGCCACCTCCCTCTTGAAGCTTTCCCTGACTTCTCAGCCCACTCTGGTTGTTGTCTCTTCTTTGCACATCTTCTGAGTCATTCACTGAGTCAGTGAATATGTCAAAGTTAACAATGGCCTCTACGTTGCTAAATCCAAAGGCCACTCCCAGTTCTTTCTCTGCCTGAACTCTCCACAGCGACCGATGCACTCGACACAGGCCCTGATCGCCTTTCCCTCCTGAAATACTCCCTCCTGTGGCCTTACGCTCCCCGGGCTCTTTGCTTGCTCTCTGCCTCTCCACCCCAGTTTCTCTCCTTCTACTCAACTCTAAATGTGGCAGTTTCTTAGCCTTTTTCTAATCTGTCCTCATGGCTTTAATATCCCACCTATAAGCCCAACACTCCCCAACATAGATCTTCCTCCCTGAACTCTCCACACAAGACATTATACATTGTTGTTTTATATGTATATTCAATTGTTGACTGGTTTCTTTATCTTCCACTGGACTGTAAACTCTGTAAAGGCAGAGACAACATTCTGTCGAGGTTTCACTCTGGGCCTAGCCAAATGCCTGGCATACAGTAGGTACTCATTAATACTTGTCAAGTGAGTTAAAGAATGAAGTCAACAATCAGGCATTGAGCTTTCTGGGTACTTGGCCCTGTGCTGGGTACCGCAGATACAGAGATGAATGAGGTTCTGTCTCTGAGGAGCTCACAGGCTGTGAGGGAGACTGATGAGAGAATAGACAGTTCCATGATAACTAAATAAGTTAATGGAGGAAGCACAGGACTTTTGTCCCCCTTCTTTCCTGTTTTATTGCAAAACAAAGCACCGGACTCTTGTTAGGCAGCTTTATGACCCTTTACTATTGACCATCCTCACCGCCTCTTAACTCCCTTGTGTGGATCGCAGAGTCAGACAGAATTGGGTTTCCATCCTGGCCCCACCATTTTCTAGCTGTGTGACCTGGGGCAAGTTACTTACCTTAAAAAACACCCTGAAGTCAGCAAGTCAGATGTCTAGGTCCTACATCTGCTTGCACCACAAGTTATCATGTGATCTTGGCGAAGGCTCTACTCGCTCTGGGCCACAACTCATCCAGTTTAGTGACTAAGGGCCCATTCAGCTAAGGGCCTGAGTCCAGGCTCTCAAAGGCCTGATCTCTCGCCACCAGACCAAAGTACTTTCTCTTGGCTGGAAATGGAATGTGGTATTAACTTGAGAAAAAGCCAGTGTGTGATCATACATTCAGTTTGTTTATTATACAGTTTGGGCTGGTGCAGAGCAACCGTGTCATTGAAAAAAAGAGAGTGTTTAAAATTTTCCTACTAAGGGAGAGTTAAACCTTCTTCGGGGGGTGGGGGAAATGACACATTTCTGAGCTCCAGTCCCCTTCATCCCTGAACCCTGCTTTCTTTACCTTCACCTGGTCCATAACCCATCCATCCATCCATCCACCCTCTGCCCACAGTTCCCAGAACTCCTGCTCCAGCCAGCCCGGGGCCAGGGGACATCCAGGTCCTCAGGGAGCAACCACTCTGGTGTGAGGATTATCACTCAGGGCTGAGCAAAATCGCCAAACTGCTTTGAAAATTCAAGTGTCGGGCCTCATGCTGGGCTTACGGAACCAGACTTCTAAGGGGCCCAAGCAGGTGTTTGTCTTAAAAGTTTCGCAAGTGTTCTAATGGTTAAGACAAAACCAAAACCCTGAGGTCTTGGGATCAGGCCTCCTGGCTGGAGCTAAAGAGCCTGGCGTGAGGGCTGCGGCTCTTCAGTCCCCACTTTCTCCAAGTTGGAACCGCAGGAGACACAGGTTTTCTGCAGCATAATTACTCCAAGGCAGAGGGAGGATGCACATTTGCTTCTAGTTCCAATAACCTGTAAGTCTGGGCTCCAAATCCTGGCACTCAACTCTAAATGCTCTAACCTCTTTTCCAGGAGAACCTGCCACTCCTTCCCTATGCCAAGTTCCTGGAAGCAGGCTAGTCACCTCATTAGTCCCTAAGCATGCCACAGACTTTTCGACCTTCCACACTTTTGCCCATGCTGTCCCCGCTTCTGCGAATGTCCCCTTCTTCTCTTAATTAAGTCCCACTTCATGTTCAAGACCTAGTTCAAGTTCCTATCTGTGACATTCTGTGACAGCTATTCACTTACTAATAAATACTGATGATGACCTGTCTCCACTGTTGATGCTGCTTGTCACCCTGGATGTGTTCGGCATTGTTAGTTGAATGGCTTTGCAGTCACAGCTGGAATGCTACATTATGGGGTACTGACACCTTTTTTTGTACAGTAGTGATATAGGAGTAAGTCAGTATTCCTACCTGGACTAGCCACCCATGGCGCCCCTACCAAGGGGTAGGACCCGTTGCCATGACCCCTCCATGTGCATCACTGTGTTTTTATGTGAGATACCGCGGGGGCAGGTTCATTTTCTCCTTGGCATCCACACTAACCTCTACCTGGTGGTCAGTCACCATAACAGATTTTTGCAGGAGACAGAAATCTGACAGACAAGCAAAGAGAGATAAAGAGTAGTAAAGAAGAATGGGCAGTAATGGTGGAGGTTGACGCAAGGGCTGAAAAGACCCTGTGCCTGCTTTGGAGGGTCTCATTACTTGGCAGAGAGACAGCCACAGAGACACTTTGTTCCAGAGAAAGGAGGCCTGGAGAGGGGGAGGTGGGGCCAGCTGGCCTCTGCTGGAGCCCAATTTAGTCACTCTTCCCACAATCTGGCACCTTCCAGCACTTGGGCCTCTTTTCTCTACAATCTGCTGCGAGCCAGCAGCTAGCCTGAGCCCCTCCTCAGACAGGCATGCCACAGTCCAGCTGAGAACAACCTACCCTGCCAGCTGTGGCTTCGTAAGTCACAATGAGGGCGGTGTGCCGGCAGCACAGGCAGGAGCGGCTGAGAATCTGCAAGAGGCTCAGGGGAAGATCAGGAGGCTTGGGGTCACTCACTAGATATGTGAATTTACCCAAGCCTCTTAGCACCTGAGCCATAGGGACCTTATCTGTGACATGGGAAGAACACCTCCCTCCCTTGCAGGGTTTTTCTGAGAATGAAATAAGATAATGTACTCAAAACACCCAACCTGGCTCCTGATACCCTGCGGATGTCGCTTGGTTTCCTAACCTATTAAAGCTGCATCAGGCTACTCCAATGCCCAGTGGAGATGTTTCACAAACCCTCTCCATCTGCTTCTGCTCTCAGCAGGCAGTCCCTTTGGGTGACCTCCTCCTTCCTTATGTTTTACTTAGCACCGCGGCTTGTCACTCCTCTGGAAAGTCCACCCTGACTCGGGCACACGTGGGTGCTCCGTCAGCCCTGGTACAAACCTGCATGAGTCCTACATGCCTGTAATCATGGCAACCTTTACAGGGTATGGACCAGGTCCCATGCATCGCCATGTAACATGCCCTCACCTGTGCCCAGAGCCATTGCCCTTGCCGTGCTTGAAGAAGCCTCCTCATTTACCACAAATTCCTAGTGCTTACTGCCTCTGGGTTTTCTCTGCCCTCACGGTCCTACAACCAGTGATGAGGCACAGCCTTCGCCAGTTTCCCACCCACCTGCATACCCCTTGCTTTCAGTGGTTCATAAGTTTCGTAACTTCACTAACAGTCGGGATCAAGAACACAGATAAGGATCACATTGGGAGTGTAAGCCCTTTGGCCATCTCTTGGTTCTCTTTCTCTGTCTGCACTTTAGGTATCTATGCTGGCTAACAAATGACCACCAACTTAGTGACCTAACACTACATCCATTTATTATCCACCAGTTTCCATGGCAGGGCTTAGTTGGATTCTCTTCTTTGTCTCCCAAGGCTGCCATCAAGTGTCGGCTGGGCTGTGTTCTCATCTGAAGGCTTGGCCAGGGAAGAAGTCATTTCCCAGTGTCTGTCTGTCTGTCTGAGGGCCCATCTTCTTAATGGCTATCAGCTAGAGGCCCCCTTCAGGTCCTCAAGGCCTCTTTCTTCCTTCTGCCCTCTCCACAGATAG